ATATTTACAAATTCTATAGTATTTATACATATATGTATATATAGTCCTGCATTTGGCCTGTCTTTACATTAAAAATTTATTTATATTTCTTACTCCTTCATTGCCCACAAATACATTACCACTAGTGTAGTTGTGAAGTACGTATGTGTATGTCTGTATATGTATCTAATTAGCTATCTAGCTGTCTGTATACTGTATTATAAATCTAATGATTGATCTGGGTTTTTTTAATAGTTTTGATATCCTTAATCTTAAATGCATAATAGAATATAAATTCTGAGCAAAAAGTAAAAACAACCAACCAAATAAACAAAAAAACAAAAAACACAAACAAACAAACAAAAAAATCTTAAATGAGAATACCTAGTGCCCCAAACAAGGGGAAACCACAGTCCCTCAGAGGAGCAGTGCCAGCAGGGGACAAGGTCCTCACAGAGAACGGCTCTTCCCAGCATCCTGTACCTGGAATGAGGTGTTAAAGGAGAAAAACAAAGGTATCACATCTCCTTTCACTTCCATGCAGGCAGCCTGGTTCTATCTGTGCAGTACAGACATGTCAGCCTTGCATTTCTGCTTTCTTCTTATCCACACATATCTTCCATCCCCAGAGGTCTGAAGGAGATGACATGAGAAGGTGAAATGGGCCCTTGGCTGAGGAACCTGCTCTTCCCATGATGGCAAGGAGTCCTCGTTACGCACTGCGTTGCATTCATGGGTGGGGTGACAGGGGCTAAGTCATCACTTAGCTTAGTTGTGCTGGCCAGTCAGGGTAGCCGAGATTGAAACCAGAAAGAAAACAGTGCAAGATGTACCCGCGATATTTCACATGTAGCAACTCATCTTAAGGATTTTCCATCCTTCATTTTTCAGATACTCATCTCAAGTTGCATTGCACTTACAATACTCATTGAGTTTTGAGTAATGCTGTTATGACTCCCAGATATTAAGTTTGAAAATGGCTGCATTTTTATCCCATAATCACGGTATCTGCACGGGAACTGTATCTCTAGACTGTAGTCTATTCCACCATTTAGGCAAAACATCTCAGCTTGGATTTATGGCACCAATATGCAGTGGTTTTATAGGATCCTTTTTTAATTCATGCTGGGAAACCCTGGGAAACATGCAGAATACTGTAAATACTAAGGACGCATTAAGGCACCTAAGGCAACTGACTCCAGATAGTGCATATAGTGTATAGACCTTGCTTATTGCTGCTTAATACATTTCTGAATGCAATATTCTGAAGTTACCTCAACTCCTGTAAGAATTGTTTAGGTTCAAGTAGCATTTGTATATTTAATTATGACACATATCCTTGGTGCTTTTAGACTCAAAACTAATTAGACAACATATTTCACCAGGATGCCTTTCTTCCACCACACAAAGCTCAGCTAATAAAAAGCATCAGCTTGGGAACCTGAGAATGGAAAAAATGTTTTGGATTGAGCTTCTAACTTTTTTTCACTTGAGTAATGTTAGCAAGTTGCCAGCAAAAGTATGGATGGAAGAAGAGGAAAACTGACACAGTGGCCATCCTAGTTTATTTATTAGTTTCAGCTCTGTTGTGGAGAAAGAAAAAACAGCAATGCTGCCGTGAAATGCAAAAGATTACAAGACAGGTAAAGAGAAAGCATTTCAGTTTCCAAAAAGATTAATTTCATAAAGTATTTTACTCTGCCAAGTATTCTCTGGTCACTGGCAAGAAGCAGAAATGTTGCATCCCTTGCATGTCATATTAATGAAGCCAAGAGCTTTGTGTGTATAGTGTTCCCTGAAATAGTTTCAAAGCTTAGCCCTGATACCCTGTGGTGCCAATTGAAACTGAGAAGAGGAAAGGCAGGCCACTCTCCAGTTTTAAAACCTGGAAATGTTTTCCTGAAGTATTGTAAGGAATAAACTGCTTACAATAAATGGTTGCAATTCTACTGGAGTTTTCACTGATAGAAGAATATGTGTAAGACACCCAAATATAAAAAATAAATCAGTTTTGCCTTCAAATGTTAAGTGCTAAAAGTAACATTCTCAGATAGAAAAAGGTGGTCTTCCTGCTTTTTAATGATAAATATGTATGAAAAAGAGAAATGTCACCATGGAAACGGAAGTCTTGCCATAGCTTTTCATATAGGCAAATGTTATAATGGAAACTTGTGTTCATTGCAAAAACAAACAGCTCGAGTCTGAGTCAAAGGTAGTATTACAGCATTGTCAGCTTTGTCAGCTTGAGCCCCTTTGCAGTTCATTTTCTTTTATCCAAGTCTTCCTGTGTTTCCCATCTGGATTACACTGTCATATTTCAACCTGCTGTCTAAGGTGAAAAGTTTAATATTTTTCTAGTTCAATAGAAGAAAAACTTTAATAAAGTTGAAAGGAAGATAAGTATCCCAAAATTATTATCTTCACCTGTATTTAATCATAGTGACAAAAACTACTCAAATCAATTCTAAATATTAAACAAACAACAAAAAAAGGAAATTGAATTAAGGCACTAATCCTACAGGCACAGTTCTTCATGAACTTAACTCATTAATAACTTTAATGTTGTGACTAGTGCCTTTGTAATCAAGGAGATGTTTGTGTGAGTGCTCGTTAGCAAGATCAGAACTAGAATGTATGAGTCTAGAAAATACATAGAAAATTACAGATGTTGTTGAATAGCATATTATACCAAGAAGGAGAAAATATGAGCAAATGGGGCTGGTAACACACAAAAACCACATCCCAAAATGATGGGAAAGATTACAACCCCTTGTTTGCGGCATTTCTTCTGTAAACAGAGATGATGAAGCATGTGCAGATTTGGAAGCGAGGTACTGGACTTTATGCTTTTCAGCATTCCTCCTTCACCAAAATTTTATGCTAATTTGCCAAAACACTTTACCACAGCTGGGCAGCACAATGTTACTGTATCTCACTTTCCTGGAGTCAAATCAAGAACCCATTGCTTACAGGCAAGAAACACTACTCTCCCAAGGAGTCTCTTTGGTTTTATAAGGACCCATTGTGTGAATGAATAACCACTGAGGAATGTGAGTGAGAAGCTCAAAATCTAGCTGCTGAGTTGCCTCTCTGCAAGCCAAATGGACAGCCTGGGTAAGTAAGGGCCACTGCTGTCTGTGGCATCATTCCCTACTCTGTGAACCCCCATGCTACAGGGTTCTCCTGATATCTTTATCATAACTTGGCTGACTTTCTATTATCAACTATTTTATTTCTTCTATATAGCACAGAAGTTCTTTGAATTATTGTGGGCTATTATTTAAATGTATATTAAATTTTTGTAGACAAGAGATTTTTAACCCCAGTAGACTGCAACTGCTCCATTAAATCTGTTTCAGCATTTTGTGTCTATTTGGCTGCTGCACATACAGAACAATCTGTGAGCAGATATAAAATTTATTATTTTTAAAATTAGGTCGTGGGTGTATGTGTGTATGAATGATCAGTTAGAAAAAATATTAGTTATTTGGCATTTTCAAAATAGTCCTCAACACTTCTCTGCCTTTTAAAGACTAATGACGTGCAAAATTTAATTTTGGAATTTTTTTTAGGTTTTATAAGCTAAAAAAGGCATCGAATATCACACCACTCCTATATCTTTCATTTATGTGACATGGCAGCTGACACAATTTACTTCCAATTTTTTTCATAACACATACTGCATTTGAACTAAGAACTAGTTTCATCCCAGAGAAGACTTCAGCCTTGGACCTACACAGTATGCCTAACCTTAATTTTATGTGCTGGGTTGTTCCATTGCAGCTAGCAGGGCTACAGAAACAAAGAAATTCACAATATTGCATTTACAGCCATGCTTAACCTCGCTATCAGGACTACTCTCAGCAGTCAAGTTAAGCATATGTACACATGTATTTCCAGGACCTAGGTCTAAGCTTATTTTACAGGACTGGACTTCTAATGGTTTCATCATAAAAATCTGAATCAAGGAGTTATAAATGAAAAATACGACATAAATGTATCCGAAGTGGCACAAATGGCATCATCATAGTAATCACACTAGAGACTTTCAGGGAGCAAAACAATATAAAATAATTCAAATCTTTCCACTGAGGAAAGAAAAAAAAAGAGTTAATTGAATAAAGTACTTCAGAGGATTGCAGCCCACTTATGTTTTCATTTAAATACACATTAAGATTTTTCTAAAAAGGCCAAAGACAGTTTTTGTAACGCCACATATGGATGTTGGCAGCATATGTAAAATGGAGAGAGCACAGTTCATTCTCATTAGGTTTAGTGCCATATTTTTCTAGGTAAGATCAGCTGTAATAGTGGTATTTCATTGTGATTTCAAACCATTAATATGCTCAATAAAAAGTGCTGGATTTTTAATAAATGGAAACCTCGGAATACATGCATGTGCATGGTAAAGTGCCAAGCATGATTTAAAGAAGGCTATTGTAAGTCTACTTTTATTGTTTTCCATAGACCACCAGAATCAAATAGTGTGTGGCCTACAAAGAAATTAGGCACTTACAAAGGATTTTCTGCTGGAACAACACGCTCAGAAACAAAAGAAAATCTGATCTATAAATAGCAAATACTCAAGGCAGGAATCTGTGCTCTTTACAATCCATAAAAACAGAAGAAAATTTATCATATGAGAATGAGGGTTATTATGGAAATTTCTTTCAGGTTGCATAACAGTGGAAATCGTGTACTTGATCATAGTATTTTGCATACTTATGAATACCTGGTCCTTGTACCAGCTGATGACAGTGGAAAAGTTTCATCTCCCTTCCTCATGCTTCTCCCATAGCAAGCTCCAACACTAGGCAAACTGATCCGAAACTGAAATGCTGCTTTCCTCCAGTTGATCTGGGTGGCTGTACAGAGGAATACATGCTGCTCCTCCAAAGGCAGAACTAGTGTGTGTCGTTCACCCTGTCGCTCCTGGGTTTGACAGCCTTGGCTCCTCCTGTTCAGCAGCTGCTGCATGGCCAGAGCACGCAATGCAGAGGTCTCTCATTCATTTGCCCTGCATGGCTTTATCAGTGGCAGGGCTGCTCCACAGTTCAGCTGCAGCCTTGCTGCACCTCTTGGGAGAAGGGCCCCCACCTGGACCAAGGGCCACATTCTTCTGGTGGTACAGGCAGCAAGTAAGGCCTTTAACATAGAATCTGAAGGGCCCTCAAGAACTACTGTAGACACACTTTGACTCAGGCATTGCTTGTAGCGTCACCCTTATTCCTCAACACTGTCACCCAGCAGTGCTGAAGACACAATCTTGTCTCACTGAAGTAATTTCCCTATAAAGTGTTCTCATCAACAGCAATGCAAGGGGCATTCAGGTAAATCCATATACTCATAATGCCTTGTCGGGATCCGTGTTTAAGGTGACATCTGAGGGCTGTTTTGTGAAGAACAAACCTTCATGAAAACTGGAGCAGCCCTTGCTTCCTTATTATTCAGTTAAATAAAGGAACTTTACTGTTTCTTGTAAACAGAGTCTTGGAAATATAAACTCAAGTAAGATCAATATAAATCAACCATCCAGTCTGCCCAGTTGAGAACCTGCTCCAGCATGCATATTTGCTAAAGGCTACAGCCACCTACAAACTAAAAGGTCTGTTAGGATCAGAGTGCTTATTATTAAGGTACAGTCTGACAAATGGAATGAAGCAGAAAAATACATGTGGTTTTAAATAATTTGGTTTTATTTCTCTGAATTTAACAGAAAGTAAGAAAAACAAAAACTGGCAGAATTATAGCTGGTATAAATCTGTACACCTTCATTGTCTCTTCTAATTTTTATCAACTAGGGGTCTGGCCCACACTATTGTATTTTCAAGGAAAACATTATTTCTTTGCTTGAATACTAAAACCTATGCATTTTTCCTTATTTAAAAACAAACTCTTTTTCCTCTCCTCTCCTCTCCTCTCCTCTCCTCTCCTCTCCTCTCCTCTCCTCTCCTCTCCTCTCCTCTCCTCTCCTCTCCTCTCCTCTCCTCTCCTCTCCTCTCCTACCCTCCCTCTCCTCTCCTCTCCTCTCCTCTCCTCTCCTCTCTCTTCTTTGTTGAAACTTTCCAGAAACACAACATGCAACTTGTAAATAATTTTTGGCTTGGCAAGCTCTCCTGTGCACTAACAGTTTACATATTGTTCTGATTAGGCAAGCTAAACATGGTACTAAATATGCAGACGTGTTTCAACTCATGATGACAGCTTGCGTATGATTTACAGCACCGGCTGCTAAAGGCAATTGTTCTGGTTCAATATTCCTATTTATTTATGCCAGCATTTTGCTGTAAACAAAGCCATTTATGTATCAGATGGCTACTGACACAGACTGTTTTTGACAGCTAAGTCCCAACAAATGTGCAGACATATATCCACACTTTAAGTAAGTATGCTGGTATTCTTTATACTTTTTTGGGTTGCAAACAAGCTGAAGAGTGATGTTTCTATGGTAATTCAGAGATTGTTTTTTGTCTAATTTTCTTTTCTCATAAACAAAAATGTAATGTCAACCCAACAGACTGGTAATACTCCAAACTTGAAAACAATGCAAATGTGATGGCTAAGGAGTCTCCACAGTACAATTCATAAAGGGAAAGAAGCCATCTCCAAATATTTCCTTTATGTCAGAATTAATATTAATGTGAGAATTTTGTTTCCTTAGACTTGCAGTGAATCTCAGCTACAATATTTTTCTCTTACTACCTATGCAGACCTATACATAATTGACTGATGACTGTTATGTCCTGATGAAGTAGGGTTACACACAAAGTTCAAAAAGCCTTATAATCTGCTGCAAAATCTGTAACAATGTGACCAGGAGGCAATTTTCTGGTTTGCATAGACATAATAAGTAGCTTCCATTAACAATGAATGGCAATGAAAAAAATCTACCTTAGTGAGAAAATCAGTCATACTTTTGGCAAATGTGATGAAAATCGACTATCTCTCTCAAGCTCTGCATGGATTAAATCCTGATTAGATCCACTAGATCCTGAACTTTTGGTGATTACAAGTGAATTATTACAACTAGGTGAAAGAGTTACTATGCACATAGTTGTATCTTTTTTCTTTTCTAAGCTGGTAGTTATAAAGTTTAACCCATATTTCAAAAAGAAAGTCACTGATCTGATACCTGACCTGATCCTGTGGCAAGACCAGCAACTCTACCTGTCCTTACCAAAGTGAGTAGGCTACCAGCTTGAATCAGAGAGCATTAAGGTCTACCAAAGTGCAGCATGTGCAAACTGGAGGCTCTGGAATTAATTTCTCAGCACCAAAATATAAGGATGTTTTCTCCTACCCAATACCACTTTTAATCTGTTAACTTGCAGGCTTCTCTCTCGTCTTTTTTTTGGGAAGGTGAAAACCTGTCTCCAAAGCACCCATATTCTCCTCAGGATCTTGGGAGATGTCCTTCCTTCTACTCTGGATAAAATGGCCTTGTGGTGCATAGTGGCCTTCACCTCAGAAGTCATCCTTGGCCACTGGGTTTTCTGACAATTGCAGCCCTCCCCAGAAGGGCCATTGTGGGGTCTAAAATGCAGGGAAACAGCTTTCCAAGGAAGTAACATAGGACAACAGTCTGGCCAGCACTGATTTTAAAGAGCATAACCTATGAACCACCCATGATGGCCATGTAATTTTTTGTTCTACATGAATGTAAAAAGAAAAGAAAAAAAAAACAAGAAAAAAAAACACACAGAAAAAAAAAAAAACAACACAGAAAAAACCCCAACAAACCAAAACCAACAAAAGGCAAAAAACAAAACCAACAAAAACCCCCTGCAAATCACAGGAATAGGCTAATTGAAAGCTGTAGCTACTACTGACACCAGGTGAGGGGTCTGCAGAACAAGGACACTTCCAGAAATAATACAATCCTTTCTCATTTTCCTAATTTATAGTAACAGTCAAGCCAGAGTCCAGGAAAAGATGAACTAAAAATATAGGGGTCATGGGTCTATTTAATGCAGCAGTTAGCAGCAATGGATTTATGGGAGAAACTAAGGGGCACATACTCTGGGTCATGAGCTGAAAATGCTGCTCTCTCTGTATCACCCCTGCAGCTGTATCCAGCTCTGGCTAAGGACGTGGCAGCCCTTCCCCATCACTTACTAGGCTGGGATGTTTCCCCAATCAGATGAGGTAAGGGCTATCAGCTCCAGTTGTCACTTTGCAGTCCCTACTCCAAAGCATTACTGGGGCTGCTCTGCCCCAGGAGATGGGTAGGAGCTACACAGCTTATTGGGCAGACACTTGTACTTAATGCATTTCTTACCTCTGATGCATGCCAAAGGCAGCATTGCCCAGTGGATATGCTGTGAATTGGGAAAACTGGGTTCTGCATATGACCACTCTGTCTCTCTAGATTCACTCCCTCTCCCTTCAGTACAAATGAATAATGAATCTGGTCTTTTTTTCCCCTTCTGTAAGCCCTAGCAGTAATGACAGCCCTCAGGCTACAAAGATCCATGTGGAGATACTGTAAAGGATGGAGAAATTAACTGCATTGAGCCTCTACCAGGATTTCAAAACAAAAAAAGGCCTCCTTATACAGAAGAGGATGAGGAAGGTTTCTTACCCTCACCTTCCTCCTACATAATGGAAAGACATTTGCAGCCAATGAGCTCAGAGGACTCTGTAGCCTTCTCAGCCTCCCAGGACTCATACTAGTCAGGGAAGCAAGGGACTTACCTCTCCACACTGAGTCACAAAGATGCTCTGAGTTTAGTGATCCTGCTCTCCTACAGGCTACTGGTTTTACTCCAGGCATTGTCTTCTAACTTCAAAAGGCTACTTCTTTCTTCACTTAAGCAACTGAATTTAAGCACTCAAGTTTGAAGGTCTGCACAACTGCCATTATCCTCTGCAGAGGTAAATCTATGGTGTCTCAGCAGGTGCCAGTGCTTCATTAAAGTAGGCCGATAGCCTCACTGTATGTATCAGCCTACCTTAGCATAGTCAGGGTGTCTGGCTCTGCCCAAACCATGTACTAAGAGTACCAAGGTCCAAAGTTTGGTCTATTAAACACTTAAACAGAATAATTATTCCAGGAGTTATAACTGCGTGATTTTGTACTGCCTAGCAGCTGCGCAGCTTTATGTGCTTAGGCAAACTGAGTGCCAAGATGAAAAGTTGGAAATGCAGCATTCTACACCCATTCTGGAAAGGTGAGAAAAGTGATTTGAATTTTAAGATACTGAATGTGATCTCACAGGATAAATAAGCAGTAACTCCACTGAAATTTCCAACTTTATTACAGTGAAAGTAGTGTAAGAGAAATCAGAATTTGGACCTACGCTATGGTTTTAACAATCCCAAAAAGATATTTTGGGGAGAATGTATTAATGTTGTAACTCTGATTCACAGTTTATTAGTAGGAAATAGGTTTCAGCTTGAATTCTTTCAGGACAGCCCAAATGGTGTGGTTATGGTCCCATAATATTCCCTCACAATGGCTTGCTCAATTAACAGAAACGTTTGCTGCAGTATCTTTTTCCACAACCTTCTTGCTTTTTTTCATCTTCTAATTTTGGCCAAGTAATATCACCTACTGCTACTAATTCAAACCCCTTTGTTTCCCCCCACTGTGCCACAGTGCCTATCTCTGTTTAACAGGGGAGTCTCCTCTCTTATTCTGACTTCCTCCAGCATGGTACTGGTATTGATTTGCTGCAGTATGTTCTTCTTTACATCCTACATGCAACTTCCTGTGCTGAGAAGATGCTTTCCACCTGTCTTCTTCCACTGTCTTTGGCAAGTGGAAAATTCTTTTTATCCTATGGATATTTATATTTTCTTCTATCTGATATCAATGTGCTTTGCTGTACTTTCTTTAAATATGGCTTGCCTTGGTTATGGGGATTGGATTCTGTTTGCTTTTTTTTTTTTTTTCAGTTTTCATCATGTCCTTTGTTTTAATTAATCAGAAGAACGGAACTTGACATAGTTCAATGATGTTGTGCTTCATCTGTGTTGGAAGTTTGGGAATCAACATCCTACAGTAAGAACCAAGAAGTTTTATCTGGGTTTTGTTCATAATAAGGTTACAAGAAAAAAGATTACTACCACAGTTAATACCTCATTTATTATTATTTTTTCATTAAAAGAATAATGCATGACAAGGTGGAAGCAGTCATACACTAGAACTTTACTGTCCACTCCTATGGGAAGCCATGTCTTCCCCCCCTCCAAAAAAAAATAATTAAAAAAAAATTAAATATATATATATAAATTAATGTATAAGGGTTCAGTTTTGCAATTATGGGATCTAAGTAGATACCAGATCCTAGGTACCTTCAGGAGAGTTTGAAGTATCATGCTGTCTGTCTCTTAATAGCAAAGCACTTTTTACCGTAGCATATTGTTTTATCTGGTCAAATTTTGAACCTTTTGGAAGCCAAGGTGAAAGCTCAAACTTCTTTGCTGAAGTATATCCGTTGTGTATTAAAATATCCAGGATGATTCATTCAGTCAACCCAACATCTACTCATCAGCAGGAGAACAAGCTAAGGAGGCATTATATCTTTCTCTAGCACAGCACTTAAAGCGAGGCATTCCAATCTAAAAGGCGGAATTGTTCCTTTGAGTAAAATCATTAACGAGCGCAGCAGCGGGAAAGCTGTAACCACAGAGACCTCTAGTGGCGGCTGCGCCGCGCCCTGCCCGCCCCCCAACTTATTGTCCCAGCCCCGCACCGCTCCCGCCCAGCCCCGCACCGCTCCCGCCCAGCCCCGCACCGCTCCCGCCCAGCCCCGCACCGCTCCCGCCCAGCCCCGCACCGCTCCCGCCCAGCCCCGCACCGCTCCCGCCCAGCCCCGCACCGCTCCCGCCCAGCCCCGCACCGCTCCCGCCCAGCCCCGCACCGCTCCCGCCCAGCCCCGCACCGCTCCCGCCCAGCCCCGCACCGCTCCCGCCCAGCCCCGCACCGCTCCCGCCCAGCCCCGCACCGCTCCCGCCCAGCCCCGCACCGCTCCCGCCCAGCCCCGCACCGCTCCCGCCCAGCCCCGCACCGCTCCCGCCCAGCCCCGCACCGCTCCCGCCCAGCCCCGCACCGCTCCCGCCCAGCCCCGCACCGCTCCCGCCCAGCCCCGCACCGCTCCCGCCCAGCCCCGCACCGCTCCCGCCCAGCCCCGCACCGCTCCCGCCCAGCCCCGCACCGCTCCCGCCCAGCCCCGCACCGCTCCCGCCCAGCCCCGCACCGCTCCCGCCCAGCCCCGCACCGCTCCCGCCCAGCCCCGCACCGCTCCCGCCCAGCCCCGCACCGCTCCCGCCCAGCCCCGCACCGCTCCCGCCCAGCCCCGCACCGCTCCCGCCCAGCCCCGCACCGCTCCCGCCCAGCCCCGCACCGCTCCCGCCCAGCCCCGCACCGCTCCCGCCCAGCCCCGCACCGCTCCCGCCCAGCCCCGCACCGCTCCCGCCCAGCCCCGCACCGCTCCCGCCCAGCCCCGCACCGCTCCCGCCCAGCCCCGCACCGCTCCCGCCCAGCCCCGCACCGCTCCCGCCCAGCCCCGCACCGCTCCCGCCCAGCCCCGCACCGCTCCCCGCAGAGCCCCGCACCGCTTCCTGCTCCCCGCCCCGCGCCCTAAGGGGCTGCGGGACAGGGCTGGCGGGGCTGAGAATCCTTCTCGGCGCGGTTCCCGGGCGGCATCTTGCTCCTGCGGGGGATGCTTCGGGTAAACGGGCAAAAACCGCCTCTCGCTCAACCTCAGGCTTTAATTTACCGCGTTGTGCAGCGGTGCAGCTGGGGGGTGCGGTGTGAAAAATGAAAATGGGGCTATAACTACCAGGTGGCGTGGTTTTTAAATGTAAAAGATATCGAAGTACAGAAAATTGGTTTTGTTTTACTGTACCTCCTTGTTAAGCCTTCTTACACGTGTGTGAGCAGTTTGGAAAACCCCAGGACTCGGTGTTGCAATTAATGTGCTTGCCACCCTCTGCTGCCAAACCTTAATCATTCGGTACAATATTGTCCTCTTACTTCACTATTAGCCTCTTTCATGAGGAGAATCTTGGGTTTTGTTTTCTTGTTTGTGGTTTTTGCTTTTGGTTTTGGTTTCTTTTAAAGTATATTTCTATTTGATCGTACAGCTGCTCAGCAGCCCAAAAGAAAACTAGTTGCCTCAAGTCACTTGCAGCTACAATCACTGCTCAAAGCCTCATCTTACAAAGTTTTCTTTCTCCCTGTTACTGCAAGTGGTCCCGTTGGTATCACAGCTGTTAACACAGTTGTGTTCATGGGACAACTCAACCATCAGGCCCAATGCAAAGAGTTTGCACAATTTGTCCCAAAGTGTATGAAATGTAGGGGGGGAAAAAAAATACAAAAAAAACCCCACACAAACAAAACAAACAACCAAAAAAACCACCCAACAATTAAAAAAAAACCCACACGGTTATTTTTAAATTTTACTAAGCAGATTCAAAATATGCAGGGGCAGAGAGAGGGGAGACATGCAGTGTGTATTAAGTGCAGGTTATCAAAAAGAAACTGTCTCTGGATTATGTACAGTTTCACTTGACTGAAGCTTCATGGAAGATTAAGCTTCTTTTGTTGTCTGTGCTGTTTCACATAGATCAGCTGATGATGTGCAGAATAATTTTAACCACATATTAAACAGTGGTTAATCTGAGATATGGAGATGAACAAATATGAATAGTGAATAGCGTTTTTAGTGTTAATTCTAATTAGAGATGGAGCAAGCAGTTCATCAGGAATCTAAACTCTTTGTGCAGGGTTCTCAAAAATACATGTAAAAAGAGAAGGCCTGTTTACTGTCTCGATGTTTACCAGCCAGTCCTGTGTGTGGTAGATGTAATTTATAAAGGAATCAATCATTCCTCTCTGATTTATGGAGAATAATAGCACTGAGGCAGCTGACTTCTGGAACTGCAGCAGACACAGAAAATAAAATAGGCAGAAAGTGTTAAAATCCAGGACACTGTGTCAAAGAGTTGTGAGCATTAAGCTAGTTGGGTAGCATTTTTAACAGGAGACGGAGGTGGAGTTGTGTGGTTCTGCAGCGCATAAAAATAACACATTGTGTTCTCCTTACATTATGGCATTTCCAAAATATTACACTTCAGACTTTTGCTGGCCCCACAGGAGACCTTTTCAGTGCCTTTTCTCTTGTAAAGATTTAATTGATCTCTTTTGAGTCTAGGAGAGGTCTAATATTTTGCAGATCTATTTTTATTTTCAGCTTTTGCTTTAGTTCCCTTCATACACCTTTAATTTCTTCATTTGAATTAATTAAGCTCTCCTCAGATATATGAAAATGATGAGATTTCTCAACCCCATTCATTGCACAGGTTATTCACAGTTCTTTCAGGAATTTTACCAAGTTCTCAGCAATTTACAGAGAAAAACATGTTTGTTACTTGCATGTTAATACTTCAGCAAGTCCATGAATCAGACATCCAGCACTTTGAAATTTGTAGCGAGAGCATTTATCTTTTTCAATAGAGTCTAATAGCATAAAATTTATTCATATAGCTTTGTTTTATAGGTGACAATAGGACATCACTGGGGAAAGAAGTACATAGTAGTTTAAGTGGGAAATTACATTATTTAAAAAGAAAAAGCTTCATTCCTTCTCTCTGACATCACTTTTTTTTCTTTTTACTTTATTATTTACTTTTTTTTTTACTTCTGTTTTTCTTTTTCTGGAAGACAAAAGACAAGATAACATTACAGTTTATGTGCTTTATTATCTCAGTCACCTGCTTTTGTGCTTTGATCACATTTACTCTTACATGGTGCATCTTCATTTTTCCTTCCTCATCCTTCAGACATTTATTGCATGAAAACAAGTCTTATCAATCAGTTCCTTGAATATATTGCTGATGGCAGAAGAACTATGGGGTCTACTTTAGTGAATAACTTCATCATCTTTGCCTCTTCATCTCTGATCAGAGAGGTGTCTGGGCTACTTTTCCCCTGTAGGTGGACTCCTCTCTAAATATTATTTAGACTATTGCTGGAGGTGGTCTGCTGCAGAAATGTATTTGACACTGATCTTTGTGCATAAAATATGTGCTGATCTTTTAAATATGAAAGGATTCATTGCTAATCCTGTAAAAAGGTAAAAAATAATAAAAAAATATTAAAAATTGAAGAAGTGTACTGTATTGGGAATGTGTAGGAAGAAAATGGTTAACCAAATGTAATTTGCCAATTATTCCTGTAAGGACAGACACACAGTTCCGTTTTCTTACCAAAATCGAAATACGGGTTTAGGAGAGGTTGGCAGAGTAAAACCGTTTCATATGTAGCCATCCAATACTCTGTCCCTTTCTTTTTAATCTCCAAATATATCTGGCAAGTTCAGAGATCATTTTCTGGAGTCAGGGGGTCCCAAACTACAGGATCCTCTAACTTCTTATTTTTCATTTTCTGATAATACGAACATATAGGACTTTTTAAACTTTAAATGCCAGATAAGTATTTTCTCTACTTTTTAAGTATAGTTTTCTTAGACATCTGTAAAGGCAAACAAATTCTGTTTCTAGATCCCTCACAGGAGAGGCATATGCTTAGGAGTATTCTTTTTGTTGGGAATTAGGTTAACCATGTACATCATCATTACTTGAATTGCCAGAGAAAACAGCTAAGAAACATTTTAGTCCCTTTTATCACTATTACAAACCACTAGGCACAAATATTCTAGTGTAAATGTGAAAGAATATCTCAGTAATCATTGCATTTTTTTTAGTGTTACTGGGCACCTAAATTTCTCTTTAAACATCTGGGCAACATTTTGTGGCATTCACAACCTCTGTTCATTTGTCTCCTAGGTCTGTACATGCTTCACAAGATTGCATCACAGTACTGAGACATTTGCTTGCAAGGTACCTGTAACTGCTCTGTCTCTGAGGCTGTTGGTGTTCACCTTCATTACAGCCTCTTCAGCACTTGACTCAAGTAAACCTGTTTTTCCTTTTGTGGGAGTTAACCATGGGAGGATTCCACTATGAAACCTGAAGGGTGACAACTTCCAATGAGTTGTGGTTGCATCACACATTGTTGTAGCTGCTTTGTAAACAACATTATGCCTACACACAGAGTTTCTTTTCATGGACTTACACATAACTGCCAAAGTCCTGATGATCCTAGGTCATTCAGAGCATCAGATGCTGTAAAAAATTATGCTCCCTTCCCCTTAGCCTAATAATGCCAATTTAACATGTATCTTCAATGCACATCTAAGTTGTATCTGGTGAACTTGTGCAGGAAGGCTGTACACAGTAATTCAAAGATCAGTGCTCTGGGGGTTCTTGTGGGATGTCTGAAACCCCTATGGCAGTTGATCTGAAAGAGAAGCCTGATATGGAGTTTTCGGTTTTCAAAGAAGGTTTTTCTTACTACTAGGCTATTATCTAGTGTTGAGCTTTTTTAATAATAGCTCCTGATTGAAACAGTTTCATGTCCTGTTATAAATAGAACCAGATAAACAAACAAAAACAAAACAAACAAAAAAAAGCCCAATCCTAAACCCCCAAAGTCAATTGGGAAAAGTTCAATGTATTATTTAAAGTGCTCATCAGTGAGATGGATGGAAATAGTGCCAAGCCTCACACTAAACAGGGCAAAACAGGTATTTCAGTCAGGTTTCTTGGCCTTAGGTGATTGTCTTAGACACCCTTGCTGAGGAAGTCTTGGTAGTTGAGTCTTGTTCTGAATTTGCATCTAAATGCCACTAATGCTTCACACCAAGGAAAAAAAAAGTAGCTGTGAGAAGAACAAAATAAAGTGCATCACTCAGGCACACACAAAAAGGTAGAAGTTTCTTTTTTCTGGTGGGTTCTTCTGGTGTTGGTCAGTTGGTTCCCAATTCCATATCCTGACATGCTGAGTTCACCTTTGCCACGGAGAGTTTGAGCTAGAGGCCTGTGCACCCTGTTCTGAAACCCTGTGCTGGCTGCCAAGGCCAAAGATGCCCCAGGCCTCTGGGAAGGGAGAGATCGACAGGTGATGGGCAGCCCATGATGAGTAAATCTGGGGTGGTGGAGAGAAATTTGCTTCAGTTGCTATCTATGGTTTGCATAGCTAAACAGTGTGGGAAGGCAAGTTGAAAAGTCGCAGAGGAAAAGGAGAAAGGACATTCAGTATGAATGAACAAATTATGACAGTTGATAAAGACTTTCTAGTTTGGGTCAACTTATCCTATCAAAGGATAAGATATGGCAAACCTATTACTGCACAGGGGTGCAGTGAGTACCATGGCTTTAATTCCTTGCTTGCTTGACTTGTCACAACAAATGACATCACAGAGCTGGTATTGAGCTCCAGAATAAAAAAATTAAGAATAATAAGTAAAAAAAATAATTTAAAAATATTTTTTTTAAGAAAATAAACAAAATAGACTTTGGAGGAAGATAAGAACATGGCTCACAAACATTAGGTCAAAGACTGGAGAGCTATTTTTTTTCAAACGGATTTTGTTATTAATGACATACCTTAACATCTATATTAACTACTGACATCATCAACCCCAATTTGTACAAAGCATTTGACACTGTTCCACATCCTGGATATGTCTGAAAGACATGAATTTGACAGGTGGACCACTTGGTGGATCAGTAATTGGTTGGATCGCTTCACTCAGAGAGTTGTGGTCAATGGTTCAGTGTCCAAGTGGAGGCAAGTGACAAGTGGCATTCCTCAGGGGTCAGTACTGGGACCAGTGCTGTTTAACATCTTTGTTGGAGACATGGACAGTGGGATTGAGTGTATCTTCAGCAAGTTTGCTGATGATGCTA